GCTGCCACCATGGCTGGACGAGTGGAGTATGGTCGTCAACGTTGGTAAGACGACCACTCTGCTCACTCGCCGTCTCAGGAAATTCCCACCTCCGCTGACCCTCAATGGCCAGAAGATTGCGTACCACAAGGCCGTAACCTACCTTGGGTGCAGGATCGACAGGACGCTGCGCATGACCGCGCACGTCGACTTCATCGTCCGCAGGGCCCGATGTGCGCGGGCGACGTTCTTGCCGGTCCTGGCATCCAAAATGCCGGCTAGAACCAAGCTCCGGATATACAAGATGTATATCCGGACCATCATCACATACGCTGATCCGGCCTGGTACGCACTTCTGAGCGACCCCCTGAGGCGGCGACTGCAGGCCCAGCAGAATCTGACGATCGTCGGAGCAGGTCGCTACGTCTGGAATGACGTTATAGCGGCCGATCTGAAAGTCTAGAAAATCACCGACTTCGTGGCCCGGATGGCGCGCAGCATGTTCGACCGCGCCGACAACGAGCCACATGAACACCTCAACGGCTTTGCGCCGTTGCACGCTGGGCCCCCCGGACGGGCGACCTCTTCCAAGAGAACTCCTCTCTATAGTGATTAGAGAGTCGAGTAACAACCCTCAATGCCGCTGAAAGGCCAACCCACACTTCACCAGACAACTTCTATTTTTCCGTAGTCGGACAACTACGGAAATAATATTCCTCCAACCACGGAAAAGTCCGTCTAATTTTTACTTAGCCTAGAATAGGCTATAATGACTGTCCCATAGTTATGGGACATGAGGATTATCCGGACAGTGGGGTACACCCCGAGGCCCGATACCTGCATTGCACCTAGGTGCGTGTAGACGACAGTCAATATATATTTCTTTTTTTTTTTCAAAAATATTTATTTATGCAAGTACTATTATGCTTGGCAAGAAAAAATTTTGTGGCTCTTTAAATACTTTGAAATTTTTTAAATTGTAATTTTGACTCTTCCGACTCAAAAGGTTACCGACCCCTGCCGTAGGTGTCGTAAGTGGGGATAGAGGGAAACTGAAACAGGATATAGGCAGCAGCATTTTTCTTTCGCCATCCCGCCTTGCCAGCGTGGCAACTATAGCAAAAGCCTACAAGACAATCTAAAGGGGAGGCTAATTAAGGCGCTACTCCTAGCGAACGACCTGCAGCATTCGTTTCTATACATTCCACGCGCTCTCTCTACAATAATATATCGCGTAAGAAATTCGCCCAAATTTTAAAATATTTTCTTTATAAAATCGAATATTTATCTTTTGAAAAAATTAAACAGCTCAAAATGTTCATTAATAAATTGCCTATCCATTAGTGGCAATCGTAAAATACAAAAGTTAGGAAAATCCAAAAGTGTACGCCTTATTGACTCTTCCGACTCTTTTATCTCATTTGATTATATAAAAGAAAAATATCTCTTTTTCTACATTTGAGACGAACGAAGAGATCCATGAGAATATTTTTTTGCTTAAAAGTACCAGTTGTTTTTTACATTTTCATCAATTACAATTAAACGAGAACAAATTACTTAGTGATTTTTTAAAGAAACCTGTGCGTTGAGATTCTAAACCTAATAAAAAAGAATTATTTTGATACATCAATTCTAACGACTACGATTAATACAGACTTCCGGGCACCCTCGATAATTTTTTTCAATCAGTTTGTTTTTACACTAAATACAAAAAATTACTTTTAAATATAATAGAAACATGAAAACGAGTGATTTTTCTCGATATATGTGTATTTTTATTATTCTTAAAGTGCGGTAGTTAAAAAATGAAGACATTTGTTAGCGTATTTTAATAATTTATATTATTGTAACTAACATGGTGGGTAATTAATTATTTTCATCCTATAAAGTCTGCGGGTACATTAATGTATTAGATTATGTCTAATTATTTATTTTTGCTTATATTTATAACTAGAATGTAAAACTGTTTAAGATAATTATAAGAAATATAAATAATGTTTTATAATGTAAAAACTTACAGCTTAATATCCAATATTATAAAAACTTGTAACGGAAACCACACAAGCAACGCCATCTATAGTTAAGCACTGTTAAATTACAAGCCTATAAAAGACAGATGTCGTCGGTTTGAGCGGCAGCGATAAGCGGCAGCTACGAGCGGCAGTCTTACTAAATCTGTCGAGTGAAGAATACGTACACGGGAGATAAATTGTGAGTAATCATAAATCATATCATAAATCATAAACACTCACGCCTGTCACCCAGAGGGGTAGGCAGAGACTACAGACTTCCATTTGGCACGATCCTGACACACCTCTCTCGCCTCCTTCACATCCATACACCTACGCATGCATGCTCGTCGGTTAAGGGTACTCCTAATTTGGCCCGTTTTCAATAAATCGCCAATTTGGTCGATAAATTTTCGCCTAGGACGTCCCTTTCCGACTCTGCCATTCACTTCTGCAACATAAATTTTCTTTGTCACTCTTTCCTCATCCATTCTTTCCACATGACCAAACCACCGAAGCATTCCTTTCTTAATCCTGGTCACAACATCATCTTGCAAACCACACTCTTCTCTTATCACACAATTTTTCACCCTGTCATTCAGATTCAGCCCTAACATACTCCTTAACGACCTCATTTCTACTGCATTTATTCTACTCTCGTGCTTCTTCTGCCATACCCAACTTTCACTACCATACGTTAAAGTAGGGACCAACACAGCATTGTGAATTGCCATACGTGCCTTTTTTTGACACATTTTGACTCTTCACAATAGAGTGCAGGGCTCCATTTACTCTGTTTCCTGCGTTCACTCGTCGTTCTATATCCTTATCATATCTCCCATCCCTGCTAAATACGCAACCCAAATATACAAACTCATCTACTTGCTCGATCAACTCCCCTTCTATTCTTATTTCACATATCGTTCTACTTTCATCTCTTTCAAAAACCATAATTTTTGTCTTACTTGCGTTCACTTTCATACCCCTTTCTTTTAATGATCTGTTCATTAATGTAACCATCATTTGCAACTCAGCCGCCGACGACGCAAGAATAACTTGATCATCGGCGTACAAAAGGCATTTGATGGTTAACTCACCCATTCTTAATCCGCATTCTTCAACTTTCAAATTTTGCAAACAACTGTCCATAAATAGGTTGAACAACCACGGGGAAGCCACACAGCGCTGTCTGACACCTTTATGGATGCCAAACCAGTCCGAGTAGACCCCGTTGATCCTAACACAAGCACTAGAGTCCCTATAAAGAGATTCCAATGCCTGTATCAAGCCAGCGCTCAACCCAAATGAGTTCAGTGTTTGCCATAGCACATTCCTATCCACTCTGTCATAGGCCTTCTCCAAGTCCATGAACGCACAAAAAACCTTTTGGTTTTTTGGCCAAAAACTTCTCCGCGATCATGCGCATGGAGAAGACTTGATCTGTACATCCCATTCCCTTTCTAAATCCCGCTTGCACATCCCAAATTTTTCCATCGGTTTCTTTCATGACCCTTTCAATTAGTACCTTGGCATACAGTTTTCCCACGATGCTAAGAAGGCTGATACCGCGGTAGTTTTTACAGTCCTGCTGCGACCCTTTTCCCTTATATACTGGGACTATCACGGCTTTGCACCAGTCTCCCGGTACCCGCTTCAGTTCCCAGCATAAATTAAACAAGGTGTGCAGCAGGCCTGCCACCACTTCCTCTCCAGCCCTTAGCATTTCGAGTGAAATTCTATCATATCCGGCAGCCTTACCTGCTTTCATGCTTCTCATTGCTTTCATTATTTCATCTATACTTATCTCGCTACCTTCACCGCTTTAAATTGTGAGTAATAATAATTATTTTTATACATTGTTATTTGTGTGTCTAAAATGTACATTGTTATTATTATGAATATCTATAACCTTGTTTAGATATATGATATTTTATGCATTTTATAAAATACATGATGATACTTACGTATTAAGCGACTTTACTTAACACCATTACGTGGGTGTAGAGCACAACCTCAACGCTTCGCTTATGAGGCTTGTAATAATGTTTAATTTATGGGGAGATGTATGTCATCAATAATTTTTATATACAATTTTTTATTATTAATAATTAATTCGCATTTCGCATTGAAATGTAATAGGTTTTTTATTAGTTGATATATCATTTTAATAAGAAGTAGATAGCTACTAAAAAGGTCACAAATAACGACTAGCGCTGCATTTTGCACAAAAGGCGACACCGTGAAAAAATGCACCTCCTTTCATCGAATAGTATAGGACTATGACACCACTAACGAAAGTGGGATTTTGATATAGGTATATTCATGTCTTTATCTTGAATTTGATTGCTCAAAAACACGATTGTGTAATTTTTACTCGATCATAATTATTTGCGAAAACACCTCTAAAAATCACTATAGTCGAAATCATTTGATCTATATGCTTGGGAATCACTCAGATATATTTATAACATCAATATTCATAGTATACTTGCTCATTATTTTGATAACTTAAATCAATAAGTTTTTAAAAAATATTTTAAGATTCTGACAATTTCTAAGCGCTTTTAATCGTCGCGGGCGCTACGCAATTTTAGACCTTAGCGTTACTTCAAGTTTTTATAGAAATTATGTAATCACTCGGATCAGTACGGCGATAGCGTTTTCGATGTGTCGTCTTAAGGGAATTGATAAATACTACTAAATGTATATCAATACCATTAATTATTCATTCAATAAAGACTATCGAAGACCACTGCTGAACATACCCGGTGGGAGGGGGGCTCACTCCATAGGTTACCTGATAAGGGGGATGTTTGCCACAGTTGCCACAGTTGGTGGGCAGGTTGGTACCTGCAGTTTATTTTATTTTCTAGTCGTTATTAGAAAAACGCTGTTGCCTTTGTATTTCTCTGTCTCACCTCTTGCGACACCCACGGGACGATATGGGGTACTGGATATTCTTACACGCTACTACACGTTCTATTACTCAAACTTACTAATCAAAATACACAGGAACCAGCGAACTACGAGTTCTCCTACAAAGTGAGCGACTACGAGAGCGGAAGTGACTTTGGCCACGCGGAAAACCGGCAGGAAGATAAAGCAGAAGGGACGTACTTTGTCGTACTTCCTGATGGAACCAAACAGGTACGTTGAAATCATCTTCATCAGCTCTACTGCTTTGTAACCCGAGCAAATTCCACCTATCTATTTCTGCAAACACAAATGCGAATACTATTGTATTTTAGTGTAGTAAGACACACTGAAATACAATATGTTTTCACAGTACGCGAGCAATTTTAAGTGTTGATTTACTACGTGCTCCACGGTGAAGGAAAACATCGTGAGGAAACCTGCATGTCTGAGAAACAAAAAAATATTTCGAGGACGTGTAGAGTTCTCTTATTTCTCTTACAGCCTATATACGTACCACTACGTAGGACGTATGTAGGCTGTAACTTTCAAGAGGTTGTGAATGTTAATTCTTTCTTTACTGGGAACAAGACATTCCATCTTAGTTATTAGGAGTGACAATGCATCTGCATTATGATTCATCATCGGATACAGATGTATATGTCTATGGGCTACAGCACCCACTTGCCGTCAGGTGGAACGTGTGCTCGTTTGTCACCATTCTTCTATAAAAATTGAATTGAAAAACAAACTTACAGTCCACCTCACGGAACGTTGCAGGAATCTGTTGTTCACCTGCAACCAACATAAATAAAGAATTGGCCTTAATGAAGACTAAGATGGAATACCTCATGGCCTGTTATTATACTGGGTTTCTTCTACATTTCTCTACGTCTCTTATACACTTCTGATGTGGATGATAATAACCCCTGGGTAGGGTGATCGCTACCAAGCTGATTCTAATTTATTGTGTGTTAATTGTAACTGGGTTTCTTGCAGGTTTTTCCCAGGATAGAGGTTTTTTTTCCGAATCAGTGGTAAATTAAAAAAGTGACTTTCAATAAGTATTATTTATAATCTATATTGAATAAAAAAAAGTTTGTTTCTGTTTTTGATCTCTTATTTTTTATCCTTGGACTACAGTAGCTAGTTGCTATAATTTATCAACAAACGAAAGTGTACAAACAAGTACATTTTTTTAAACTTTGTCCTAAGAAATTAATATACCACGTTTTTCACCTACAATTTCTGATTCTGAGCTATGATCAAAATTTCAAGTCCCTAGCCCATCGGGAAGTGTTCGAAATTTGAATTGCAAGATTCCACCCGAAACGGCAGAAACACTAGAAAGGGACATGATGAAAACGTGGTAAAATTAACACATTTTCATGGCATGTATTCTGTTCTTTCCAGGTGGTAGAGTACGAGGCTGATGAAGATGGATTCAAGCCAAGGATCTCGGTAATACCAGCCGACACTGCATCTAGCCGCGCAGGTGACGGGTCTTATTGACACAACTCCATAATCCAATAGAAAAGACGACACACTATTGTAAAATTTAATATTTAAGTAATTTAAAACCGGCAATATGAAATAATGGAATAAAAAATAAATAAATTAGAAATGTGTTTCACTCGTAATTGGTTCTATAATGAAAGAATATATTATTATAATCACAACATTTTCAAATATTCTTTAAAGTTACAGCCTGTATACGTCCAACAGCTGGGCACGGGCCTCCTCTCATTTCTGAGAAGGTTACGTAGATAAGCATGTTTTTACCCAGTTATTTTATTATAATATATGAGATGTTTAGAGATACTTAGTAATCAACCAAAACTTATTAAAACAAAGTCTGGACACTGCTCCTGTCTGTCCATCTCAATCAATCATCAAAGTTCAAAAACTTTATTAAACTAAGTTTGTATACATATTATAAGGAATTTATGGATGATAATACCCCTGGGTAAAGTGATCGCTACCAAGCTATTTCTAATTTGTTATGTGTTATTAATTGTAACATACATGATTGTAAGGTATTATTTAAAAAAATTCCCCTGAGTTTCTTGCTGGTTCTCCCCAAGACAGTGGTTTTTCCGTACCGTAATCTATATTGAATAAAAAGTTTCTCTTTCTGTACCACTATTAATATAATACTTTAGAAATTAGAGTTCCATTATATTTTGTTTTTTGTAATACAACCAACTTTAAAACATATTTCTTACCGTGTGTTGGTATAAATAATATAAATGGACATACTATCCCTTAGTCATCTTGGCTTTAATCATAATACTTTAATGGTATTTGGAATTTACACTCACAATCAATCAAAACATGCCAAAAGTAGAATCCATACGAAATTTATGCACAGGTATGCACTATATTTTGCCGGAATTAGTGAAAAGAATTTCGATCGATCTTAACGTACCTATAAATGCTGAATATATCTACAACTTAGTTTTATATGTACTATAATTATTCAACAGTGTTCTATTTTAACTTATAATACCCGTGAAAACTAATAGAAAATCGCTTTCAGTTTGTTTTTAGGATGTTGTTAGATCCATAATTTAATTGTTAATTTCTCAGGACTCCGTTTAGATGCAGTAAAACTAATAACACTATTGTAATCTATAGATTATAAGGACCAAATAAACATGCATTTCATTAAAAATCCTTAAAATTTGTGCTGGGCCCATTCTCCAAACAAAAATAGACATGTGTCAATCACGCATGATTCGTTCGTTTGAGCTTACTTAAAGTATTGATGGTTCATTTTACGTTTTATTATATTTATTTGTTAAGGTGAATCCCTGACCAAAATGTTGCGAAAATGCGTTTTTCAGACTCTATTATCTCATTAGTTATGAAAAATAAACTACATCTAAAAGTACATTATTAATGTTCGATATCTTATCATCACATTACACGTTCTAATTTATTTTTATGTGCTATAAATACATTTAAAATCAACTTTTAAAAAATGACTAAAATTCTTGATTACATGTATCTGTTGCTAAACGCAACGCTCTAATCATTTGAGGATAACACTAATGGATAGATAATTAAAAAATCTATATTCTCCACGTTTTATTTTAATTTTTAAGTTCGTTTTTTCTCTTTTAATTGAAATAATTCCGAAAATTGTGTGACTTCTATGATAAAGGGGCGTGCGCAGAGTGCGGGCGGCATTACGCTGTATGCGTTAGTAGGAGGTGGCCGCGTCGCTTGTTGCCGCGTTCCGTATTTCGCCGCAAATAATATTATTTGAGTACCTACCAACCGATGCGCTTACGTCACGGTATATTGTAACTCGGCCGTATCTTAGAAATAAATATTACAGCCGTGCGGTACGTAAACATGCGATAGGGCTGCTGCCTCCAGTATTTTTCATTTGCCCATTGATTTATGTGTTTTATAACTCAATGCATTTTCCTACTTTGTGTTTCCATTTAGTTTTATGATTGTACTTAAATATACTTTTTTTATATAAACAAATATAATAGGTACTTTGTGAATTGAATAGGAAGTGTTCAATAAAAAATGCGTGTCGTTTTATTATTGGTAGATTTAATTAAAAAACCATGTTTATGTTTGAATAACAAATCGGTCTTATAAATTTGCGGCCGAAAAATATTTGCGCCTCGGCTGAGACGTACGAAATGCTTTATTATTAAAATTTTAAATATAAAAAATCCACATTATAATATAAAGCTTAATTAAAAATTGTTTTGGGAAACATGGACAAGTTGGAGTAAAGGAATATCTTTTACTTGGTTATAGATACCTGCAGCTATTTTACAATTTATATGTTTGGTTTTAAATGAAGTTTGGATTTATTATTTTTTTTATTTCTATTCTATTTTCTGAAAGGGTCCTAGGAAAGGAATTATCCACCGCGCTGCCCCACTGCGTGTTGGCGAACTTTGCATGTCTTCGAAATATTATTTTTCTTATTTCTCAGACATGCAGGTTTCCTCACAATGTTTTCCTTCACCACTGAGCACGTGGTAAATCAACACTTAAAATTCATCATCATCATCATCACAGCCCTTCACAAGTCCACTGCTGAACATAGGCCTCCCCCAAGTAATGCCACAAAGCACGGTCCTGAGCCACCTGCATCCATCGACTTCCTGCATATCTTACCAGGTCGTCACTCCATCTAGTGGGGGGTCGCCCTACACTACGCCTACCGGTACGAGGCTGCCACTCGAGAACCTTTCTTCCCCATCGGTTATCGGTTCTTCGAGCTATATGGCCGGCCCATTGCCACTTCAGCTTACTAATCCGTTGGGCTATGTCGGTCAATCTGGTTTTACTGCGGATATCCTCATTTCTGAGTCTATCACGCAGAGAAACTCCGAGCATAGCCCTCTCCATAGCTCGCTGAGCGACCTTGAGCGTCCTCATACGGCCATCAGTGAAGGACCACGTCTCTGATCCGTAAGTCATCACTGGCAACACGCACTGGTTGTACACTTTAGTTTTCAGAGATTGAGGTATACCTGACGAGAAGATATGTCGTAATTTCCCGAACGCTGCCCAGCCGAGTTGAATCCGTCGATTGACCTCTCGGTCGAAGTTGGACTTACCTAGTCGGACTATTTGTCCCAGGTAAACGTACTCGTCAACAACTTCGAGCATAGTGCTCCCAACAACTACCGGCATAGGTGTGACATGGACATTAAACATAATCTTTGTTTTGTCCATGTTCATCTTAAGACCTATCCGTTGGGAGGCACTATTGAGGTCATTGAGCATAGTGCTTAAGTCCTCCAGCGATTCTGCCATAAGGACTATATCGTCGGCAAATCGAAGGTGAGTGATGTACTCGCCATTGATGTTAATACCGTATCCTTTCCAGTCCAGTAGCTTGAAAACGTCTTCCAAAGCAGCGGTGAAGAGTTTCGGGGATATAACGTCACCCTGTCTTACACCTCTCTGCAGTTGGATAGGTTTCGAGCTCTGGTTCTGTACTCGGATAGCCATCGTAGCCCTACTGTACAAACACTTCAGCACTTCAATATACCGACAGTCAACTTGGCACCGCTGAAGGGACTGCAGCACCGCCCAAATTTCGACGGAATCAAAGGCTTTCTCATAGTCCACATACGCCAGGCAAAGTGGCAAACTGTACTCTTCAGTCTTCTGTACAATCTGCCGCAGGGTATGTATGTGGTCTATGGTACTGAAGCCTTTTCGGAAACCGGCTTGTTCGGGAGGCTGGAAGTCGTCGAGTCTGCGTGCGAGACGATTCGTAATGACTCTCGAAAACAGCACGTAGACGCGGCTCAGAAGGGAAATCGGTCTGTAGTTCTTCAAGAGAGCGTTGTCGCCTTTCTTAAAGAACAAGACCACCGCACTTCTGCTCCACGCCTCTGGAGTAGTGCCACCATGGAGGACGGAATTGAAGAGCTTCTGAAGGACTTCAAGTACCGGTGTTCCACCCGCTTTCAGAAGCTCCGCTGTAATTCCATCCTCGCCTGGGGCCCTGCCGTTTTTAAGGTGCTGGAGAGCCATTCTAATCTCGCTTAGACTGACGTCCGGGATATCATCGGAATAGTGTCGGATAAGACTTGCTCTTGGATCGTTACTCACACTTGCGTGTGGCTCCAACGATGATGTGTACAGCTGCCCATAGAACCTCTCAATCTCACTCAAAATCTCAGGTGTCCCGGAAACGATGCTGCCACACTCAGTCTTCAGCCTTGACAGTTGGCTCTTTCTGGCAGATAGATCTCTGGCAAAGACTTTGGAGCCCTGGTTCCGCTCGATCGCTTCTTTAATACGAGCAGTATTAAAGTTGCGTAAGTCTCGCCGCATGCATTTGGAGATCTGTCTGTTCAGTTGCCTGTATGCTGTCAAATCTGTTGACGATTGCAGCCTCATCTCCCGTCTAACAGCCATGAGATTAAGAGTGTGATCGGAGAGTTTTTGTGTTCTTCTGCGGCGGGTCTTGCAGAACTTAGCTCCGACCGCATGGACAGTTTCCACGAGCTTGTCATTCATATCGTCCACACTTAAAATTGCAACTACAATATTGCATTTGGAGATCTGTCTGTTCAGTTGCCTGTATGCTGTCAAATCTGTTGACGATTGCAGCCTCATCTCCCGTCTAACAGCCATGAGATTAAGAGTGTGATCGGAGAGTTTTTGTGTTCTTCTGCGGCGGGTCTTGCAGAACTTAGCTCCGCCCGCATGGACAGTTTCCACGAGCTTGTCATTCATATCGTCCACACTTAAAATTGCAACTACAATATTATTGGTGCCGGCGGGGATCGAACCCGGTTTGCTCGCACACTGTGAAAATTTTAGCAAGCGCTAACCATCTGAGCTACCACGGCTCCTCTCCTCTCGAGCTAGAGACTTTATTTTATTTATCGTCAGGCCTGTTGGTCTAGTGCTTAGGGACCCTGACTGCTATGCCGCAGGTCGTGGGTTCGATTCCCACCCAGGACAAATGTTTGTGTGATGAGCACGATCATTTGTTCTGTGTCTGGGTGTAATTT